GCCCCCCCGCCCCCGAGCCGCAGCAAAGTCAGACCTGAGAGGGTCACCCTGCGGCATCCGCAATCTGGAACACAAGGGGATCCAGAAACTTCAGTGCAGTTAATTTCTGGGCACAGAGGAAGTCTCAAGAAAACGAATACCAACCTCGCCCCCTTCCAGGGTCCACCCCTTCTAGGGTCCACCCCTCCCCCAGAAACGGACTTTCAAGCTGCCAAAGTACCTTCCAAAACTGCCACAAAGACTTGCCAACTTTCATACACACTAGGGATGGTAACTGTGAGCACCACAGTCACAAGTGAACTGTCTCCATCAGGGCAGAAAGCCATGCTGGGCAGAGGCACTGCATCCCCGTGTTCTTCTCAGCTTCTCGTTTCGACTATTATTATGAATTATCACTATCATTACCCCCAGCAACCATCCACTGTAGCAAGAAACAGACACTTGCCCATTGGCATGGCTAAAACAAAGAGAGAACACAGCAAGTGTAGACGCAGACGTGGCTGGAACTCGTCCGCATCGCTGGAATGAGGGAATCTGGTTCCGTTTCTCGGACAACGTCTACCAACCTGGATTCCTATGGGTCCTACAGCCCGGCATTTCCACCGCTGGCCGTATATATGCCCACAAGAAACGCAGGCACGTGCTCCCCTTAAAGCTCCAAATGGAAACGGCCTACACTGCTCACCAACAACAGAATAAAGCATGTGAAACACGGTGCAGCAGAAACAAGGGTGAGCAGTCTACCACCGCGCAAAACAACACGACGAGCCTCCAAAAATAATGTCGGGCGAAAGAAGCCAGATACGAAAAACTGCACAATCCCGTTTGCAGAACGTCTGAAACAGGCAAACGGGTCCATGAGGTCGAAGTCTGTAACGTGGTTACTCTTCCGGGAAGTGACGGGAAGGGGTCCCAAGGGGGGGCTTCTGGATGTGACTGCATGGTGGGTTTTGAGAACTTACCAGGCCAGGCTCACTTATGCGCACTTCCTCGTACACACATCCTAGTTCAGTATCGAGTTCAAATAAAGCAGGCAGACCTCATGCTTCTAACGGGGATGCCACGTTGCAGCCAGGGGGGTGTGACTTCACCCCTGGTCTAGCCTCAGGATGAGTCAGACTTTCGCCACCCTGGACACACACACGGGCTTCTTCCCCCAACTTCCTCCACCCCTTGAGGTGCCCGGGGCCCCACCCTTGTTCTGAGGGACACAGAGTAATCTGAAACCTTGACCTTGTCTATGATGGGGAAGAGTCTTAGAATCCCGATGAACATCCTTCTTGGTTGGAGCAGAAGCAGGAGCAGGTGACATCCCAGCTGCTGGACACAAGCAGTGAGAAAGACATCTGGCTTCCAGGCCAGTGTCTGCCCAGCAGGGACTAGAGACAGGGCAGAGACCCACAGCTTCTGCACCTCATTCCCCCTGTAACTTTCCAGCCCACAGCATCTACCATCTAGCAGGGCACAAGACAACTCACTCGGTGAGTCCACCTGAGTCTTTGTTTCTTATACTTAGGCCAACCGCTTTAGGATTACTCAAACTTCAGCAGGAGTTTTGACCCATCTGGTTGTTTACACGGTGGAGGTGCAGTAAAGGATTAATCCTCTGCGCTGACAGACTCTCCTCTTTGTGATCACAACGTGGCTGCAGTAGCTCCAGATCTCACATCCTCATCCACCAAAGGAAAAGCAAGATTCTCTCCCTCAGAACAAAATCCTGGAGCTAGGTTTTCATAGGTTGAATCAGATTGAGGAGTCCCCCCTGGACCACTAACTGTGGCCTAGGGGGGTAGACGAACAAGGCTCACTGGGTTAGCCAGCCAACCACCGTCCCTGCACTAAGGGTAAAGTGAAGCCCGGGGTGCCCGGGTGGCTCAGTCGGTTGAGCGTCCGACTTCGGGCTCAGGTCACGATCTCGTGGTTTGTGAGTTCGAGCCCCGCATCGGGTTCATCGCCGTCAGACTGTCAGTGTAGAGCCTGCTTTGGAGCCTCTGTCCCCCAGTCTGTGCTCTTCCGTTCCTCACACACTCCCCAAAATAAGTAAGTATTTTTTAAAAAAAGGGTAAAGTTAAGCCCATCTGAATCACATGGCAGTAACCATAAGTGGCTCCTAAAAAGAAATTCAAGTGGCAACAGAAGAAATGAAAGCTGTGTATCAAAAGCACAAGCCTAAAGGCCAATGACTGAGGTCCTACCC